CTTCCTCCAGATCAGGTCCAGGCTGCCTTTGAAGGTGGGGGGCGTGGTGCAGCAACGAGGGACATGGGGAGGAGTGGGGAGGGAAGGGAGGAGGGAGTAGGCTGGATGGAGAGGTGTGGGAAGTGGCGTGGAGGAGGAGAGAACGCGACGGCGAGCGGAGGCGGCAGCGGCGGCGCACCAAGGGGGCGTGGTGGAGGAGAGGACGTGACGGCGAGCGAAGGCGGCGGCGTGGTAGGGACCGTGCCAGCATGGGGTCAGGGTTCGAGAGAGGGAGAGGAGGAGATGCGACGCGAGAGTGCGGAAGGGAGCGACGGCTAGGCTCTCAGCCCTTGCTATTGGATATTTTCCTAACCACGTGAAATGTCTAAAATACCCTCGGTGGCCACCCAATTTTATAGGCGGTGGCGCGACCTCGAGGGCACCGACGAACCGCACTAGCCACACTCGCAGCCATAGACGCTGATCGACGCGGCCCACCAGCCAGGGTCCCCACATGTTAGTGAGGCAGTAAAGTAATTCCGGAGTAAGAAAAGTCAGTAAGAAAAATCAAATGGAGGCTACTATTCATCACTATTCATTGTAGCAGTGATCCAGGCTTGATCCGACGGCTGAGGTCATCCGAAGGCGAGATCATACGGTCCATAATGCATCAAAGGAAGATCCGACGGCCAGGAATCCCGAGCGGGAAGAAGCCTGGGTGTCCACTGTCGTGCTTGTTTCTGGATTGTCAACAGCGTACAGAGCTATATGTAATTATGTATGCAAATAAGTAAGCTGATAGCATATATGCAGTGCATATGACACCACTTGAGCCAAAAGAAGGGTAGCCATGGCCCATGGTAAACATTGCCTGCATGCTTATCCAATGGAGGTCAGGGTGTGTGTAAGAGGTACTTAATCGAACGAGCTAAGAGCAATACTAATGGGGCGACCCAAACGGACGGTGCATTTGTCCGCTTTTTGTCTGTTTAGGTCGGCCGCCCGCCCGACGTCCGCCCAGTTTTGCATTTGGGTCGGCAATGCGTCCAACGTGCCGACCCATTTCATGTCCGCATTCAACTTTTGAATTAAAAAAGGCCCGCGGCCGATCATGCCAGCGGCCATGTCTCATGCCAGCACCGGCATACAATGCCGGCTTCAGAAAATACCACAGTTCCTACTGGCGCACTCGCTCGCCAGCCGGCCGGCACACATGTCAGCACGCAAAAATGGTGGGACTTGGAGTTCGACCACGCCACCGCGGCTCCCGTGGTCATGCCGGCACACCTGCCGGCATACAAAAAGATGGCCCTCGACGCCATAGATTAGTCGTCCTGGAACTTGAGCATGTCGGCCTGCATTTTCTCGAACCACGGCCTTTTCCTTGGCGACAAGGCGTTGAGATCCACCTTCATGATCTCCACCCCGGTCATTATGCTTGCAAGAGCCACTTCTTTCGCCTTTGTCTTGGCGTTGGCGGCCTCGAGCTCTAGCATCTTCGCTTGCTTCTCGGCCTTGAGCTCGAACATCTTGGCTTGCTTCTCGGCGTCAAGGTCAAGCCTCCTCCTTTGGATCTCCATGAAAGCGCTCATTTGCTCTTCTTTGAAACACCGGCGCTCCTCCTCCCTTGAGTCCTTCTTATTCATCATGCCGTCCACGCTTGCGATCAAGGCGTTGGTGGCCGCATCTCGCTTGTCCTCCTTGGAGTTGGTCTTCCCCCGCGGCCGTGCCGGCTCGCCCTCCCCAACATCCTCCACGGCGCCCTTCCCCCCACGTACCTTGAGCGCGGCATATTGTGCCTTGAACTTCTCGTCATCTTTGATGACACGATAGCAAAGGGAGAGGTTGAAGCACTTGCCATTGTGTTGAACCTTGAATGCCTCCAAAGCTTGAAATGCCTACAAAATGTTTCCATGCAAGCATATGGGCAAGTGATAGCAAATAAAGACGTAAAAAAATGATCTTGATGGCACAAAAGAGGCCGACTTGCTTGCTATCATACCATGTCTTGTATGCCGATGCCGCTCACGGGGCGGGCCTTGATGCTCTCAAGGGTGGCACAAAACTTGTTGCACTCTTGTTGGATTACCCTCCACCGCTTGGAAATGGAGACCCACCTGCGCGTGCTCACAAATTGGTAGGATGGAAACTTCTTACGCTCATGAAACTCGCGGTGGACACGAGTCCAAAAGGTTGAATGCTTTTGCTCGGCGCCCTTCTTTGGGTCTTGTCCAATGTCTCACCAACACTCGCATAGAAGCTTGTCCTCGGCAGCTGTGTACGCCTTCGTGCGTTTGCTCTTGCGCTTCGGCTTCGGCCCGGCGGCTTGGTTGGCGAGCTCGTTCTCGAACAAAGGCTCCACTTCGATGTCGCACTCGTCCTCTTCCTCTAGCCCATAGTCATCCGGGAACTCGTGGTCGAGGGGGAAGCCGTCCAGGTCGATGCCGACCTGATCACGCATGAAGGCCGCCTGATAGGGATCATAGCCAGCGGCCGGCGTGAACGCCCCGAGGCCGTCCTGGCTTTCCGTCTCCTCAGGATCGTAGCCAGCGCCCGACGCACCACCCTAGAAGATGAGGTGTTGCATGTAGTCCTCGTCGACGGTGGACAACATTTCCTCGAACAGGTTGCGGGCGTCCGGGAGACCGCCGGCCGGTGTCTGTCGCGCGCGTTTCCTCGCGCCGCTGGACGACGAGCCACCGACCAACGGGGTGGCATTGAGGTCGATGGGCGTGGGCGGGGGTGTGGAAGGCGCGACCACGCTCACGTCAGGTGAGCACTCCCCGGAGAGGCGGGAGGCCTACGGGTAGACGTGAAAGCCGGGGACCAGGTTGCAAGCCGATGCGCGGGGTGAGTCGGGCATCACCATCCGAGGAAATGCCGACGAGCCGGTGCTGGCCGCGGAGACGACGGCTTGGACGAGGTGGTGCTGGCTAGGGTTTACCCCAAGCATGTAAAGCGCATCCCTCGTTACAGCAGCAACGCGGGCGTTGGTGAACTCCTGCTGCGCGGCGGCGGCGGCCTGCGCAGCGGCCTCATCCCTCGCGTCTGCGGCGTGCCTCCGGCCCTTCCTCTTGGCCGACTCCCTTGCCCGATGTTCGGGCGTCAGCGCCTTCTTCGGCTTGGTCGCCGCGGCGGTCTTGCGCGGGGCACGAGGCTTGCCTTTCCCGGAGGGGGCGATGGCGCCGGACGAGGCGAGGGAGGCGAGGCCGGCGGCGGCGTCGAGGTCGATGGCGTCCTCCATCGCTGGTTTGGGGACGGGGCGCGCACGCTGGCAGGAGCGTTTTTCGGAAAATGGGGAAAATGGTTGTGGCTGGCACCGACAGGTGGGCCCGGAGAGAGGAGTAGGCGCGCGCGCGTCCGTCTCATGTTCGCGCCGACGCAAATCCGACTCAAAAATGAGCCTGGAATGGGTCGCCCGCGGACGAAAAAGGACGCGCGTCCGTTTGGGTCGGCGCGTTGGGCCGCCACTTTTGTCTGCACCAATCCAAACGGACGGGGGCGGACGAAATGGGTCGTCCCATTGGAGTTGCTTTAAGAGACAACTAAACTAACTGCTCGTGATGGTCCAAAACGGAAGTACTCTAGAGGCCAAGCGACTGTTCAGTAGTGGAACCGGCGGTTCAATCTGCAAACTGAGCCATATTTTAACTTCTGTGCAAATTTCCAGTACTGCATGCCTGGTGGTTTCCTATGGCCTTGATGCAAGTTGGCAGAGAGGTCTCTTGTCTGGGGGGTGGCAGGTAATTAAGATGATGCTCAGCCTGATAAGATTCCAGCGCCTGGAGCCCCATTCGCCAGTTCAGTCAACCGCCAATTTACAAAAGAAGCACGCGGGAAAGCACCCATGCATGATGCATCGGCTCCAGTGATCCATGAACGTTTTATATTTGTACATCTTCCACGAGGGTACCAAATAATTGTGTACTTATCCATAGACAATGCAATAGCAAATGATGAGTGAGTGACGCTTATGCTAGGAAGCCACAGTAGAGCATATGGCGGCCTGATGTACATATTGCAAAGAATGGTATCTATTGTTAAAGCATTTCAAATCCTATGCAAATAGGATTTAAATTTGATTCTAAAGCAATTAGATTTGTTTCGTTGTCAAATATATAATTAGTTGTTTATTTTATACAATTTTAATATTTAGAATTTCAATCTAGTGCCCACACATCACAATGATACAGAGGCCGGGGGTTTCAATGTCCTTTTTGAAAAAAATCTTGTGCCCACACAAAAACTTTACTCGGTATATGTTGTTTATATGCAAAGGACCTACTTGGAGCTTCTTGCCCGATCATAACATGAAGTCGGGTCGGCGCAACAAGGCCACCATGCATCCAGTCCACACAGGGGCACCAGATCCGTTGTGGCTAGCCAAGACATCACCTCGCTCTACCCCCTCCGTCTCAAAAGAAGCTGTATAAATTTTTGCATGAAACCAATCGGTGCGTAGTTAGGCCATATATTTATTGTGTATCTAATGATATTTATTTGGTGCCAGAGTTTTTGATAGTTTAATCTACAAATTTGATCGAAGTTGCACTATTTGACTTCCGACAAAATTTTAGGCCTTTTCTCAGACATGGAGAGAATAGTAAAGCAGATTTTCATGTCAGAAATGAATTAAATAAACACAAAGAATAATCCAAATGATAAGTGTCACATGTCAGGTGCGTTGCACTCTAGCCCTGACGTTTTTCGATGGCAATTTCAGTCACGCAAAGATGGCAATTTTCAGTGACACACGGCAAGTTTCTGTCAAGAATAAACTGAAGCACGAAACTTGTCATGCTTGGCAATTAAAGTTACCATCCTCGCGTCACTAAATGTGCTCGTACATGTCTAAAAATAATTTATTACCCATACTTTTTTTGAGAACATTTATTACCCATACTTAAGATTTTGATTTACTTACAACGATTCTAGTCTAAAAAGTGAACAAGAGAAGCTTCTAAAACGAGAAAGGTGCATGAATAAAAGGGAACCAAATTATACATGGTAGATTTCCCATGTTAAGGGACTCCACTACCGTCACGTGTTCCAGGCCTGTCCGTGACGCCGGCGTGCAGGAGCAGCGCCCACACGAGCGTGACGAACTCCCCGCCGCGCCCCATGGCCTCGACGTGGCCCTTGACGTTCTTCGACGGTGCGACGAAGAGCACCATCTCCGACCAGAAATCCGCCAGGAACCGCCACGCCGCCGCCTCGTCCTCGGCGTACGTCTCCACCAGGCGTCTCCCAAGCTCGGCGCCGCGCTGCAGCACCTCGTCCCTGCTGGTCTTGCTCAGCTCCTTGCATAGCTGCTCGTACCTTTGCGCCGTCGACTCGCTGGCGCCGTCGTCGTCCTTTCCCAGTGCCGCCTTCACGTCCTTCACCACTTCCTTGTACCGCTTGTCGGTCCACGCCGGACTGTCCGGCAGCAGCCCCGGCGCGGCCGCCACCAGGTACGCGCAGTAGTAGGACAAATGGCAGGCGGCTGTCATGTCGGCCGCCCCCGACGTCGGGCACGCGCCGTGTGAGTACTTGATCTCGAAGAGCCTTGTGCCGATGTGACAAGCAAGGATATGCTCCGTGGTGCTGCTGGTGCCGCTTCCGGCGCCGATGGCCGGCCACGCCCAGCTGTCGACCTTGCCGCCGAGGCCCACCCGCTGCGCCGCCGCCGCGCTTCCTTTGTCCAGTCCCCCATAGCTGCTCTTCAAGGACTTCAGCACCGCATCCTTCACGGCCGGCGAGACTTCCACCGACTTGATCAGCCCTGCGCGCCCGTATAGCTTCTCCGAGAAAAGCCCCGACCGCTTGCCGAAACGGCGAGGCTCCAGCACAGAGTTCTGTCCGATCTTGTCACTCCAGCGCTTTGCCGGCTTGAGACGCAACACTGTTTCCAGCGCCACGTCTGTGCAGCGCCCCGGTGTACCGCTTCTGAATCTGATGTAGTGGCCGAGCAAGGCCATCTTGGTCCAGTTGGAGCACACGCCGGCGATGATCTCACAGGCTTCGGTGAGCACGGCGGCCAGCAGGAGGAACAAAGTGATGAAGTAATAAGTTTTTTGGTAAGATGCTGGACCTGGAGCCGGGGCCTCTCCGGAGTCGGGTCTGAAGGCGATTACCCTTTTGTCATTGATAAACCACTCCCACGCCGATAGCTCCGGCGATGATGAGAACCGAAAGGATGTAGTTCAGGACGGCGCACCACCCACTGAACGAGCACAATGGGAGTGGAGAGTAGTAGAAATCACTCGCAAACCAGAGCTCGTCCACGAGGACTCGGAACACCCGATCCGTATCGGTGCCTCCTTTGCCGTCCCCGGCGGCAGCGTCCATGCCCCTGAGCACGAAGTCGACGGCGTTGCTAGACCCTGCCTCGGCCAAGGGGTACCCTGAGAGCCGACGACGGAGACTCTTGAATAGGGAGAAGGAAAGGCAGAGGTCCCTGAGCTCCCGCCGCTTGGCGAGGAGGTCGTCGCCATGGTCGGACAGCCACCAAACACGGTTGAGGGTGACGAGTGTGCTGAGCTTATTCTTGAGAGCGTCGCTCTTGATGCGGTACCCCTGGGGCTTTTCCTCGACGTGCTCCTTGCTCTCCCCTACTGCCACGTAAGGAGGCACATGACCATTGCCCTCCTCCGCGCCGTCCTCGACGAGCTGCGCCATGTAGCCGGAGACAAGCCGGGCGTTCTTGCCGACGGCGTAGGAGCTGCTCGCCATGAGGAAGGCGACCAGCTTGAGCACCACCTTGGCAAAGCCGAGCAGGAAGAAGACGATGAAGATCGCCTTTCCCTTGAACTTCAACCATCCTGCCTCGGGAAGGCACATCACGATGAGGCAAGCCACCCAGGCGTACATGAAGAGGAGCTCCACAGGGGTCCGGACCTTCTGGCCGTCGACGCTAACGTCGGCGGAGGAAGGCGAGGCGGAGGCGGCGGCCGCCGAGGCCGCGGCGGCGTCAGCGTTGCCCTTGATGACGACGATGAGCACGCTCCACAGGAGGAGCGTCCACATGGTCTGGACCTCCGGGCTGTCCTTGCCTACCTCGACTTTCTGGCAGCCTGGGCGCCCCTTGCAGCCTTGCAGCGCCTTCCTCTCCCCCAGCAAGGCACTGATGGCCGAGGAGGTGAGCGGGATGAAGGCGACGGAGGCGCCCCAGACGACGAAGCGGAGCGCCGGGTGGCGGCAACGGCGGCTGTAGGTGCTGAGCGCCACCACCAGAATGGCGAGCACCGCCGAGGCGACCGACGATTTTTTGTCCAAAAGGACCCTCTGACCAACAGAATTGCCAAAAAAGACCACATGTCAAAAACATTGACAAAAAGGACCCCCTCAGCGGTGGCGGCAGGCGCGGCAGGCGACACGTGGCACCTGCCGCCACGCCTGGAGGCGGCGGGCCCGGCCGCCACCGCAGGAGGCGGCCACCCCAGACGAACGGATTCCCCACAGTGCGTCGCGGCGCGACGGAACGGGGCGGGCCAGGTGGGCCCTGCCGCCACCGGGCGTGGCGGCCAGCCCTGGCGTGGTCGCTGCCTGGCCGACAGGCCCTGCTGCGAGCGGGCACCGCCAGTGGGCCTCGCCGCCATAGCCTGAGGCGGCCTCACCTGGCTGACAGTGCTGGCCGACAGCTGGTGCTGCTCGGTTGCCGAGGCGTGGGCCCCGCCGCCACTAGCGCAGGCGGCCGTTGCTGCATGCGCGCGCTGATTCCCGGGCCGACATGAGCACTGTAGTAAATGGCGTTGATTCCCACGTGTATGTGATTGCTTGTTGCTAATGATGCTGATTTTCATGATTGAGCGGGAATCCGATGCGGTGTGCTAATTTCACGGGCTCGCTGTTGCAAACTGGGCTGATTCCTTGCAGTGTGGATCTGCAGTGTGACCGACATGAGAACTGTGGCAAATGGCGCTCATTCCCATGCTTTGAAAATTGCTGCTGCAGGTGAGGTGATAGCACCCAAGAGCGTGATTTCCGCGCGGTGATATGGACACTGATGCCTGCTTTTGGTTCTGTAGTGCCGACACTACAGGGATCCTAAAATATCCCGCCTAATTTCCTCTGTTTTCGCTTATTTTCTCGCCATCATTAATCGTCTGAGCCTATAAAAGAAGACACCGAGGCTCTCGTCCAGCCATCCTAGAAATCGCCAGTGCGCAAAGTGTGTACACATTTTTTTCAGTCGATATGAGTTTGCCTTGTTCGGATCAAAGCATTAGGCCGAGGAAAATGAAGACTGCAAGTTTGCCTCCTGGGGTGGCAGTCCTGCGGTGTTGGTGTGGCGATCTTTGCAAGGTGAAGGAGGTGACGAATTTTTCAGATTGGTTGGGCATGAAGTTTTTCATGTGCGCCAATTATGAGGAAGATACTGCCGTAGCTATTTCAGAGTACGACAAGCCTCCGGTATGGTTTAACCATCACGAATAGATATTGTTGGTATTTTCATTGATTCTTTAGTAACATTCTTGTTTCTTGTTGTAGTCTCCTCCGCCTCTGTGCATGTACTATCGTTGGATTGACACGGAGAAGCCGGCTTGGGCAGTGACTGAGATTCGTGAAAGAAGTCGCCGTGCGTGGAATAGTTTATTTGCGGAAGAACGACGCGAGAAGGCGGAAGCTGAGGAGAAAGCAGAGCAAGAAAGAGAGTTAAAAGAATACTATGCGGAGCAACACCGTTTTTTGAGGAAATGGGAAAGAAAAACAGGGAAGAGGCTCGTCGCATGGAGGAGCAGGAACGACAGCGAAAGGAGGCTCGTGAGGCGGAGAGGCAGAGAAAGAAAGAAAGGGCTTGTCAGACCAAGGCAGCAGAAGAAGCTGGCGATGGAAAAGGAAAATATCCACGTTGGACTCAGTAGATTCCTGTGGTAGTATTTTAAATTTTGCAATCATTTGTATCTTTATTTCTGCAGTTTAATGTAGCTTCATTTCAGTAGTTAAATGTAGCTTTATTTAAATTCTACGATGTATCTTATTTTCAGTTGTACCTTGTCGTGTTGTATCTTATTTTCAGTTGTACCTTGTCGTGATGGAAAAAATATATAGTTTTAGAATAAAGTAGTGGCATTTTCTTTCCCTCCACTAATTATCGAGCATCGTGCAACAACTATAAAATGAAATTAAGATAGAACATAATGCCTTACAAATAAGAGAGTACAAACTAATAATGCAAGTACATATGAATTAAACGGTACAACTGGAATACAGCTTAAAAACTACGTGAAGGCATCATCGTCATCCTCCGTCGATGCAGAACTCTTGCCCTTCGAGGATGCAGAACTCTTACCCTTGGACGATGAAGAACTCTTGCCCTTCGAGGATGCAGTACTCTTGCCCTTGGACGATGCAGAACTCTTGCCCTTTGACGATGCAGAACCCGGAAGCGGCGGCATGAAGATATCATCTTCGTCCTTGCTCTCCTCAGTCCATAAAAATGGATGGTTTTCTGCAGTCCTTCTAAAAGTTTCACTCTTCGGCTCCACAACCTTCTTCCACCTTGCATCCAACCTAAGAAGTTCTTTACGTACCTCCTCATAGGTCCTTTCAGGCCACCCAGACCTACGTAATTGGTGAGCCAACTCATTCATTATGGTGTCACTACCGGTGAGATCGTCCCATGGAACTATCCTATTGTCCATCCTGAAATTGGTAGCTAGCCTCAGAAGAGTGCTACTCATCCCAGGGTGAAAACTACGATCGAAAGAATAATGGGACATCTCGACTACACTACACTCGAATGCTTATCCACCTCCGTCTGAAGGGGGTTTTATAGGTAAAGAGGAGAAAATGGCGGGAAAGAACGACTGCGGTATGGAGGGAAAGGGTTGGCGGGAACATATGGCGGGAAACGGGTGGCAGGAAGATATGGCGGGAAGGGGGTGGCGGGAAACGGGTGGCGGAACATATGGAGGGAAAGCGTTTGCGGGAAAATATTGAGGGGAAAGCGTTGCTTGAAAATATATATTTTTCAATGTTTAAGACCGGCAATGGTTGCACAGTATTCATCAGCCAAAAATTTTAAAAAAATTCATTTCGGCCTAACATAAGCAAAAGAGTGGAGCGGGATAGTATGGCGGGAGATATAGGCGGGAAAAATTGTTCCTGACTGGTGCATTTTTATTTCAGCATACATAGATGTTCAAATTGAAAAGTCTGATACACACATATGTAGATACAATGGGTCGCGCACGTGCATAGATGAATCACCCTACTTTACGACGACCACCTGGCCTTTCCTTACGACCGGAAGGCGACAAGCTATTAGGTGGCCGGGGCACACGAAGACCGCGGCCGTACTCCAATTCGGCTTCATGTGTCTGCGAGTCCTGCGTAGGTGGTGGAGTCACGAATCCTTGTTACGAACCTGAAGCGTAATTGTAGGCGTATGGTTGTGACTCCGGGAGGATAAAAGATGGGCCAATAACGTCCCCTCCGAAGAACTCTGTAACTAATGATGTAACCATGTCGCCAAGATCATGTGATGCTCCCCGGAGGCCTGTGTTGACGCCATGATGATGTGATGCTCCCCGGAGGCCTGTGTTGACACCGCGTTGGGTGTTCTCATCGCCCCAATTAACATCAGGTGTGTCCTGCACATAGAAACATTTTAAACAAACTGTTAGAGGATAATATATGATATCATTGTAAATGCATTGAAATGTAAACATGACTACCTGAGCATATCCCTCTCCTATACTGTCTGGCCATTGTACGTGGTGCTGGTTTAAATCTGGTACACGAGTCTCCTCGGGCATGGGGATCCCTCGCGTGGAGAGATACGGCTGAGATCCCTCACCTTGGGTGTATGCATCATATCCTGTGTACGCATATGGGTTAGGGGAAAGAAACTGCTCGGGCATCGAATCCAAGCCCGTGCCATGGTCCTGAGATGTCTGCCCCTGACGAAGCTGCATCGAAGAAGAGCGATGCAGCGGCAGAAATGAGTCATGTCGTGGCAATGTCGTTCTAGTAC